CAGAAAGCTGCTGAGCCAGTGCCTGCAGAGGGGACAGCGGAGCCTGGGATAACTGGTAATGGCCCTGGGGGGGGCGGCGCTGAAGGAGAGGGGTGTACACTGCTAGGCACATACAAGTGATCTGATGGCTATAGAGCCACCCGAACGCATGTATGTAACAGGCTTTATCGACTGTTTACACTTCTCAGTGTGTTCTGCTCATGCGCATGCTAGAGCAGAAAGAAAGCTGTATATATTTATGGTGCCCCGCTGTAGGGAGCTTGCTAGTTGTCTGTTTATTTGAAACGGGTGGTTAAAAAGCACTAAGCAGGTAGGTTCTAATCTCTATATGTATCACAATGTTTAGTCTTTAGATTTAACTGGAGTTACTTTCAACACAATGTCCCCTAAATTAAATTGACTGTCTCCTTTAAGAGTCATTTCATGCCTGCTAATTCATTTAGCTTTCATCTTACAAGTAATGTTTGGAAAAACAACTTTATATGCATTTACTTGCATATAAAATTAGACTTGTATGTAGGTTTAATTTAATTAGGTATTACGACATATACTTTCATACTGTGCATTTTGCTTACCACTGTGAGCAAACCACTCCATTAGCATTCAAACTGCTTGAAACGTTTGGAATCCTAACTACCTATGCTAAGTCTGGAGGTACGCAGTATGTACTCTATATTGCTGGGGGTATTATATTAAACTGTTTATTTCCTTGAAATAATATGCTGTTTAAAACAAAGGCAGAGCATTAATATTAGCATTATTTTATTATGTTTACCCTAGTTCAAAACTTAATGGAAAAAAATCTTTTAATTAAATATCATATATCTTAATTTCCACCATTAACAGAATGCTGTTCTTGTAATTCTAATACTTTTGATTAGGGATGTTCAGATACCAAGTACCGTACTTGGTACAAGTACAAGTACAGATGCTTTTCCAGCTCCAAGACTAGACTAGAGAAAAATTCAAAAGTTAGGAGGCTTCTGTGATTTTTAAGGTGCATTGGCTACAGGTCTCCTGGGATTTGTGCATCTCTGTTTTAATGTATGGTTTGTTTTATATATACATATATTAGGGATGCACCGATACCATTTTTTCCAGACCAAATACAAGTACTTGTCCAAGTACTCGCAGATACAAGTACTGATACATTTTTGTTTAGTGCCATGTGACAGTTTTTCTAAAACAATATAGAATAATGTTTTCAGGACGGTGGTGGAGCGCCAAGGCCCTGTGGAGCGCCAAGGCCCTAAAACCGAGGTAGTTCTCATGAAAATGCCAAGTATCTGCACTGGTATCTGAACTGGTATCTGAACATCCCTACTTTTAATTGAAATTAGACCAAAAATTGTTTTTATTTACGTAAAAAGTGTATAAAAGAAAAAATTCAAATGTATTAAACTTGCCAAAAAGGGGAGGACTGGGAGGCTGGGGGCCTTTTCTCCCCTGGCCAGTATCTGTAAAGTATGTGGGATGGAAGCCCTCAGTGGAGATGCTTCATCAGTCATTCAGAGATCAATTAGCATGGGAGTTGCAGTCAGTGACATAACTTATTAGATACCTGATCCCTGTTCAGACTTGTGATTGCAGTGTCTGGCAGATGTCAAGAGCTACAAAGGAAGCTGATGCTAAAAATGGGTCACAATAAACCATGTCTAATCACTGCAGCACCATGGCACATTTTGCATGGTGCACTTTCTTTAGCCCACAGAAATCTGTCCCTGCTATAAAAGGGCCAGCTGGTTGTGCTTGCCCTAAAAGCCTCCCCTGTTACCAACTTACCTGAGTATAAAAAAACCAGCTGAAATCTGATTCAAAAGTCAATGACATAATTTGTCATATTTATTAATCAATCTAAACCTATTTAGTCAAACACTAACCTCACAGGTTGAAGGTCACCTTATACAGCAACCAATTAGATTTACTTTGACATCCAATAACAAACAAGACTGCCACATAAGTAAAAATAACACATTTCTAGTCTGGATCAGCATTTAATATAAGACAAGGCAGACTGCTTTGGGTTAAATGTTTGTCTGATACAAACATCCCTTTTCTGTAAAATTACTAAAATCGCCTTTTTCTTGAGAAGATGTCCTGTAGCTATTCTCTATAGCTTTGGTGTAATGTGCAATCAAAAATAAATGAAAATGTAAACATGTAATAGGATTAAAGCTATGGAAACAGCTTATACTGTATAGCAGGGGATAATAATATACTGCAGAAAAAAAGCTTTATTAAGGGTAACTCATAATATAAATATATATCAGTAGGGATGAGCTTTGGGTTTGGGTTCAACATGAGTTCAAGTTGTTCACTGTTTGGGAAAATGGTGAAGTAATGCAACCATTTGCCACTATTGCAACAAAATGGCAATCATTAACTTCCTGGCCTTTGAACTGTGGTCAGGTGGCTTAGAATGGATGGTGAAAGTTGTTTTCTTATGTGCCAAAGTCAGGGTTTCACATTTTCATAATTGTTTTTTACATTCAGAAAAAATATAGGATTTGGGGTTTAGTGTTTAATAGGCGGGTAAATATTTTAGGTATCATTTTGTGAGGGAGGAATATTTAATTTAACCACTTTAGGACCACCTTACGTATATATACACATCTTCGTCCTGAAGTGGTTATAACAACATCACGGCAGCTGCTGCTGCATAGTTTTTCACAATTGCAGGGGCACTCACAATTTTAAAGCTTGTCATGTTCGGTATATATTTTATATTTTACCAAAAACTTATGTTGTGTTTGTTACTAAAACTAATTTTAGTGTATTGTTTTTTAATTTGCCAGGGTGTTGAGCCCTGATGTACGGGAAGTTGTGAGCCTCCGAAACATATTGGCTTTTCTTTTTGTCATATATTTTGGCTCAGTGACACAGAGACATTATCTTCTATGTTGTGTTGGAGGGCAGTCTCAAAAAAGGTAGACTCCACCAGCTGGAACGGGAGCAGCTGTACAGCCTGTAATGTTGTCCAGCTGGCTTTAAGATGCTGGACATATGGGTAATTGGGTGACAATTTTTTCGTTCACTCAGGCAGCTAGGGACGAAACACCTGTCTGGCCAAGGTTGCACTGGAGACAATGGGGTGGGATTAGTAGCTTTACTGCAATGTTCATCCATGCTTTGTCCTTCTTTGCATAAGTCTCCTTCTCAGACTTCCCTGTCGCCTAAAGGCTGCAGATGTTGCAACGGATACATGTGTAAAACTAACATTTTGGCTATACATACACTTTAAGTAAAGCCCAATTGAACCCTTGTAATGTATTTCTGTAATGCAGTCAGGATGCATATACAGTAATAAATATTGCTCTGATTTACTTTTTTTACCAGCTAAGTGCTTCAGCAAGGGTAAACCTCTGTAAACATGGGATGTTCTGACCAAGGCTCTCGCACACCGGGCTCTCCTGCGGTCCGATGCACCCCAATAAGCACTGCTGTAATAAATAAATTACCGTTGTTCCCTGAGTAGCACTTTTGATTGGGCAGTGTTTGGGAGTGAGGGGGCGGAGTTAAAGAATTGAGCTTCTTCTTAAGTGTGAGACTCTCCTAAGTGCTATTTTTTTATCCATTGATGCAGTACTTAACAGACAAATCAACTCAAATTAATTTAGAATGTTTAAGTGGGCTTTAATGTTTAATAAGGATTTAAGTTCAGGCCAGGTATAATAGTTTGGAGGTTACAATAAAAAGTTGACAGATAGACAAAATAAGAATTTTATTTATTGCTTCTTCACTGCTCATTGAGTCACTGACCTGGAGCTAGCTTGTGCATATCAAGTGTCAAGCTGTTGTTTTTTCTGGGTCAGTGGCTTACTAAATAATGAAGAAAGGATAAGAAAAACAGCCTTGGAACATTCAAAATCCATGTGTGAGCAAACGCCTGCAAAGAAGGTCAGGGCTACCCCTAAAGGCCAGTTAATATTATTCCGCCTGCTGTGCCAGGCCAGTGGATGAGGGCACTGCAGCACAAAGAGTAAAGAGGATGCACAGGATCTAGGCAAAGTAAGGATGCACAGGATCTAGGCAAAGTAAGGATGCACAGGATCTAGGCAAAGAAAAAAATTTTACGGATGCACGCAATTTGTAACCTGGGCATGTTGGGTATCGTTTTACTCGTTGTAACCTCATCTTTTATATTTCATTAAAAAAATGGGTATTTTGTTGTGTTTTGGGGCATTTAATTAAATGTTTCACTAAATATTGGGGTTTAATAAGGAGTTGCGCTAATATTGCGCAACATAAAAATTTGCAACTACCACCATTTTATTCTATAGGGTCTTGGCATTCAGAAAATATATAATGTTGGGGGGTTTTAAGTAATTTTCAGGCCTCAAATGTGGAATATAACATGGGTACAAAAAATGAAAAAAAGGCCTCAGTCATGAAGGGGTTAATATTAGTGAAATTTCAGCTTTCACCTGCATTAAACCTTTTGTCCACCCTCGAAAATACTACATGTACGACTTTGTAAATCCATAAAAAGGAAAGGTAGTAGTAAAAACCTAAACCAAATGTGGGATCCATAATGGCCATAGCACTGCTTTAAAAAAAAAACCTCACATTTATAAGGCATAGTGATGTACGTTACAAATGTTCTCTGCTCTCAAAGCAAAGAGCCATCGCCGTTTATACAGAGTGGCCCACTTTGTGGGCCACAATGTGTATAACAGTGTCCATTCTCAGTTATTAAGAGACTCTAAGTCTAATTACATTTTATCGCATGATTGAAAGTTAGAGTGTGGTCACATTTCTGTCCACTTGGCTGGCTAACTGAGGTGCTACATCCACTTTTTTACACTTTGTCAGTATAATCCTTTTCTTAAAATGAAAAATAAATAAATGGAAGCCTCATTTTGCTTTTTATTTCTCCCCATTCCTTTATTTCTCTTACAGAGAATACGATACATAAATAAAATTCCTGCTTTTTACTGTGAATGCAGATTTGTAACTGTGATATTTCTTATTTTACATATTCTTTTGTCTCCTTTGTATAGGATGCCTGCTGGACTTGTCCAGGCACGTAATTGCGCTCTGGGAGTCCCAATAGCAAGTAGAAGCTCTCCGCATTCTTCACATTCATCCCCTGCTGGCATAACAAACTGCACGAATGTAGTCAGACCAATGCTCCCTATTACTGTACCTCATCAGTCTCCAACATCCTCTCATAACAGTCCTTCTAAAGTGACTGCCCAGCAATCTGCCAACCAGTCACGAACCGCTATGCATATGGGTAAGTGCACTGCCCCATTTGTAACAAAGCATTTGGACAAAAGATAGCAGTATGCAGAATGTACTGGCTACACTGTATGATTTAATTTCACAAAGGCGTATGTATTTAATAAAGATTATATGAAAATTATTCTTGCTCATTTTGAGGGCAATGGTGTGGAGCTATAGTATGTCAATGTAATTATTATTATTATAATCATCGGCAGCACTTAAAGTGACATTAAACCCTCTGATTTTTTAACATAAAACAATACTGTAATGTGCGCCTTACTGTAATCCATGGTCGTTTCCCTTCTCTTTGCTGCTCTTCCTTTTAAATCCTCATGTCTTCTCATGCTTTGGTAGAACTTCCCTTTTCAGCTCAGGGCCTCTTCCTGTAGTTCTGGCTCAGGTTCCAAGCCTATACAAACGTATACACAGACACCGTGTATCCATTCCTGAGACAAGGCAGTCTGCTGCAAAACAGAAGTTCTGCCCAGCATGAGAACAGATACAAATTTAAAAGGAAGAGCAGCAAATGGAAGGGAAACTACCATGGATTACAGTAAGGCACACATTACAGTATTGTTTTATGTTAAAAAATCTGAGGGTTTAATGTCACTTTAAGTAAACCCTGTCACTTTATTAAAAGAAAACTCTACTACTAGAAAATGTGTTACTGCAAATTAATATATTACAGTGTTATTAAACTGTACCTTTCCAATAAATCCGCTACCAGCGTTTGCTTTCTATAACTGATAGCAGTGGAGGGAATTTTATCAAAGCAATTGCGACTGTTTTAGCCTCTTTTTTGATGTGCAAATCTGTTTAGCCGCACCGTTTAAAATGTTAATAAACCTCAAACCTGAATATTGAAGAAAGTAAGTGAGGGTTTGGCTTTCTTAGGAGAATATCTATGTGTGCACAATTATTGGGCAACTATTAGTGTGCAGGATTAATATGCAACTAAATGGAAAACGAAAATTTTCCTTTCCCTTTCCTTTCTTCCTTTTTTATTTAAAAGGAAGAGCAGCAAAGAGAAGGGAAACTACCATGGATTACAGTAAGGCACACATTACAGTATTGGTTTATGTTAAACAATCTGATGGTTTAATGTCACTTTAACTATTGACAAAAATATATTTTTAAGATTTAACTCTTGAGTTTAGTGTCACTTTAAAAGCTAAAGCTACACTGGAGTGGTTTAAAATGAGGAACCTAAATTCCCAAGCCACAGTTCAACTGAGAAATTGTAGCAAGATTTAAACCGTGCTTTTTATCAGCAGTTCCAATTCAGAGCTAGGGTAGTTTTGCCAAGAAGGATGGGCTAAAATTGCAGGATTCTTATGTGAAGAACTGGTAGACATACCCCAAAATCTTGCAGCTCTAATTTTTGTTTCAACAACAGTTGCTTAAATCTGTGTACTTCATATAAGTGACATAAAATAAACTTTTGTTTATTTAAACATGACTGGAGTTTTACTTTAAAGATTAGCTGAGATGGCAGACAGCCTCTTGCCCTCCTTCTAAGCTCTTCCTTGGTATAAAATGACCTACACTGAAACCTTGATAAACCAAGTATATAAGTTAGCCACTGCTATATAGACCAGATTGTGTCTGTATTTTCCAAAAGAAACATGTACAGCTGTGATTTTACTTGATCTGCAGCCAAGGTTTTTCTTCAAAGAGCCAACTACAGCACACCAACCTCTTGTGTCTTGTAAATAATGCCAGAGGGTCAGTAATCATGTTGGAGAAGTTTACTTTCATTGTTATCAAATGTATCGGAATGTTATGGTCAGCTCTAGATTTTAGAGGGTTTTTTTTTAATAGCAGTGTCCCTGGAAGGAACTCAGTTCCTTTTTGCTTTGTACATTGGATGCAAACCCTATTGGCTATTTCAATAACAAAACATATGCTGTATATAAAACAGAAATAATGATATTGTAAGTGAACCGTGAACATACCAGGTAAATGCAGGGGACCAAGGAACAGTAAGATAAGTTTACAAATAGAATTCTAATGCCTGCTGCAGATTCTGATTTAGTTGAACAGCAGGTTGGCTTATCCCAAATAATACATTAAAAATAAAAGCAGCATGACAGCTTATGTACTATATGGTTGCTAATAGAATGTAAACTGACCGAATTCATATCAAAATATCCTTATGTGTGGCTAGCCTTACTTGGCCTATACAACAAAAGTCATATTCTGTATAAAGTATTTTTGGACTATTAAAAGGTAGTCATAGAGCATTAGAAGCTAATGGTGGACAATCACATAAACGAAAAAAAGACAACTTAGACTGCAATTTTATATTCTATATTATACAGTACACCAGTTTTAAGGACTCTTGCACAGAGGTATTTTAGATGCATTTCAAAAGATGTCTTTTACTGCCTGGTGTTCAGGCAATCAGTACAGCCTACATTTTCCTCTGTGGTGAATTAAGGTTTTAGTGCACAAATCATGTTGGAAATATCACCAAGAACACATATGCATTGACTGTGCATTCTGCACATGCCATGTAATGCTATGCTCAGTGTATGCACATTACAGCCTTTCACAGCAGCACAGTGGCATAGTGGTTAGCAGCACTTCTGCCTTGCATCACTGGGGGTCCCTGATTAAAATCCCGGTCAAGACACTATGTGCAAAGAGTTTGTATGTTCTCCTTGTGCTTGTGTAGGTCTTCTCCAGGTACTCCGGTTTCCTCCCACACTCCAAAGACATGCTGGAAGGTTAATTGGCTCCAGTCTAAATTGTATGTATGCATGTGATATAAGAGACTTAGATTGTAAGTTCCTTGAGGGCCGGGACTGATGTAAATGTAAAGTGCTGAAGAAAATTGTCATAAATATCTGTAATATATAAATGAAAAAGAGAATCTGAGTAGTGTTAGAGCGTTGTGGTTTGAGAGAGCCTTTAGTGGGATTGTAGTGTGTGGCAATGAGTCAGCCAAGTGCAGGGGGGTGCTTTCTTAGCAAGTGTGCCTGCTGGTCTGTAAGGAAGAACATGCATTGAGGGCAAGCATGACGTAGACTGCTGGAGCTGAGTGCAACAGTGAGAGAAGGAGAGAGCACAGAACATTGGGGTGGAAGGGCTATCCTGCAGGAAACATCTTTCGTCATCAGCTGAAAGAATGTGCTAAGTACTTCTTAGTATGTAGCACTGGTAGGAAGACTGTCATTTAGTAAGAGCTGACTATTAGTGAGTTGCCAGCCAATGTTGGATATTCGGACCTAATGCTACAATTGCAAACTGTGCTGTACTAGTTTGCAGTAACTTTGTCAATATCGCCTCTTGTTATTTTGTAATTTCCCCCAGAGAGCTGCCATTTACAACACGTGTGGTGAGGAGAGGTGCGGTCAGTAAGAGAAAGGACAAAGACAACTAAGCTTTAACCTGAACATCTAGTGTAGTCCTGGCTGTGTCCCCCCCCCCCCCC